GAGCTGGTTGAATGGACATGGGGAATCAGGGGTGGAAAGGAGGAGTGTGCTGTCACAGTATAGGGAGAGCAATTAGGGTCACATAACAATGTATGTATAAATTTTTATATGGGAGACTAACTTGAAATGTAAACTTCATTCAAACTACAATAATAAACAAACAAACAAAAAATCCCTTTCTATTGATTATTATGCTCAGCGACAAGCGTTAACTTGGTCTGTCCCAAACCATGCCATGCAGTCACCATATGTATTAGATAATTCTAAGAATTATTGTTAATTCCACCGAGGCGGTCACTTTAAAAACCTGAAAACCAAACTTGTTCCCATTGAGTTGATTCCGACTCATAGCAACCCTACAGGACAGAGCAGAACTGCCCCATAGCACTTCCAAGGCTGTAATATTTACCGGGAGCCCTGGTGACGTAGTGGTTAAGAGCTTGACTGCTAACCAAAAGGTTGGTAGTCTGAATCCACCAGCCACTCCTTGGAAATCCTATGGGGCAGTTCTCTGTCCTATAGCGTTGCTATGAGTCTAAATCAACTCAACGGCAATGGGTGGTGGAATCTTTATGGAAGTAGACTGCCACATCTTTCTCCAGAGGAGTGGCTGGTGGATTCCAGCTGCCAAGCTTTTAGTTAGCAGTTGAACACTTAACCACTGTGCCACCAGGGCTCCTTCCTGGTCACCTTAGTATTAGATAATTTTAAGGAATTACTGTTAATTTTTTAGGTTGATATTATTAATTTTTAATGTCATCTGTTAGAGATGTATATGATTTACAGGTGAAATGATATGTCTGGGATTTGCTTTAAAATACTCTATGGTAAGGGGTGAGGAATGTGGGGAGATATATAAAATAAGATTTGTCAAAATGTTGATTAATTTTTAAAGCTAAATGATGGGTATCTAACCAAAACTCAAAACCAAACCCATTGCCATTGAGTCGATTCCAACTCACAGCAACCCTATAGGACAGCACAGAACTGCCCCATTCAGGGGTTCTTTAAACTGGTCTCTACTTTAGTATATGCCTGGAATGTTCCATAATAAAAGTTTGTTTTATTTTTTAAATGCCTTTCCCCTTCTTTAGGAGCCACCTGGCTTCAGAAAATCCAACCATCTTCTGTGCTGTTGCCCAAGTACTACCACGGTGCCTCAATGAGCCTCTATTTGATATTTGATGAGTGAATCACCAGTATTGCTTCCTACTTAACATTTGACATTTACAAGTATCTTTCCCTCAATATACACTACAAATAGTTATCATTTACCGAGTCCTTATTGTATGTAAGCACCTGTGGCCATTTTGATCCTCATAACACCTATGAGGTAGGCACTACTGTCCACACTTTCACATGAGGACACTGAGGAAAGGAGAGGTTAACTAACTTAGAGAGTTATACAGCTGTATTAAGTAGTGGGGCTGGGATTCTGGTTCCAAAGTCGTTGTTCTTAACCACTGTGCTATTTGTTGTTGTTAGCTGCCATGGTGTCAGTCCCTGACTCAACTCTATGCATAATGGGACTGGACCATTTGTGACTCATAAGATTTTCCACAGCTGATTTTTGGAAGTAGATAGCCAGGCCTTTCTTCCTAGTTTGTCTTAGTCTGGACACTCCACTGAAACCTGTTCAGCATCAAAGCAACACGCGAGTCTCCAGTGAAAGATAAGTGGTGGCTGTGCATGAGGTACACTGGCCAGGAACTGAACCTGAGTCTACTGCATGGAAGGCGAGAATTCTACCACTGAACCATCATTGCCCTCACTGCCTTACTGATCCAAAAAATGGAAAGAACTCTGATTTTACAAACAGTTAACTGGATTGTTAAGGATAAGAGAAATAGTTTATAGGCTCTTTCAGGAGTCTACCTTATATCCCAGATTTTCCAAGGCATTCTGGCCTCAAATATTCTGACATCATAAATCTCCATAAGCACAGACATTTGTCATGTGTCCTAACTTGACGTCTAAAAAACAGGGTCAGTGGACTGACGGATCCAGTGTCTGAGTCTTTCAGTTCTGGGCTCCTCACAACACTGGATACATGACCTCAGCCCTGCTCTCCCGGAACTGTCATCCCAAACAATCCCGACATTGTGACCTCCCAGCAATCCCCACCTCAAAAGACTGGGACCAACTGGAACGGGCAGGAAGACAAAAGACAAAAACAAAACATGACCTTCTCTGAGCTAAGATCACAGCTGAAAAGACAAAACAGAACCTTGTAGAGCCTCCAGAGAAGGCCAGGAGGCTTCATGTTTGATTTTCTTTGTTCTTTAAGGGAGTTTTGCTTTTCCTTATATAAATAAAAAAGGTGGCAGATCTGAGACTAGGACAGGGGAGTCTTGCAAACTAGCCCAGGGCTAAGAATTAGCAGTAAAAGCACCAGAGTAAAACCAAGGGGCAGGGAGAATGTAATCCTTTTGTGTAGTTGAAAGAGTTTGGTTCATTTTAATTCCCTTATTAATTGTCAAAGCTACTGCTCAAGTTCCACGGGGAGAGTGGAAACCCAAATCATCAAAATCTCCAGGGACTCTGAAAATAAAATACGTCATTGGTCTCTGTCTAGCCCTGTGTCTGAGATTATACCTGGACTTTAGGGAGTGCTTTCCCCAATTCAGCATCTTTGTGACATCACGATTTTGCACTGATCAAATGGTCTAGTTAATCCTCTCCCTGCCTTAGGGACGCTGGTGAGTTCCTGATGGGCTGGGACTCATGCTAGGCTTGCCTTGGCATGTGGGGAGAGTTAAGAGTTTTTGAAACAGATTTGGAGCAAGGCGCCTGCTGCTAAGTCCAAGGCCCAGAGGCTCTTCCGACAGAAGCAGGTGGTAGAAGCAACAGCTATAAAACGGAGGATGGTAAGGGAAGGCACGAGTAAACTGAACCTCACCTGCTAAGTCACCCTGCACTTACTTGTACCTCCCACAAAGATGCACAAGGATGAGCAGAAATGAGTACTTTAGATTTGCAGAATAGCTTGTAACTTTTCAAAGCACTGCAACATGCATTCTTTCTCTTGTTATCCTCTCAATATCACTGAGATGGGGAAGGACGAGTGTAATTATTCCCAATGAACAGATGAGAAAACTCATCACATCTGAGACTCGCTGAGAGACACAGAGCTCAGTAGTAGCAGAGCTGGACCAAGAATCCTGGTCTCCCAACATCTAGAACTGTCCTCTTTCCATGATGATGCTTCAGTAGTAGATGTCTCCAGCTACTAGGCTAACCTAACACAAATACAGTAATGGCAGAAACAGATGGGGAAATGAGAGGAGGCAAGTGGATTGGGAACAAAACCCAGCTCAGTTGTTTTTTGCTTTTTTATTCTAGAAAGCTTCAAACACACACAAGAAGAAGAATACAATAAATCTCCATG